GGCAATGAATCAGAACCACATCCATTATGCTTTTTCTGTAAGGAGGTGCTATCAAATGAGAGCTTAAAACCAGCTAATCTTCAGCATCACCTTGAAACAAAGCATGACGAATATGTTTCTAAGCCAATTGAATTTTTTGAGAACAAACTCAAAGAATTTAAGGAAAGTAAGAAATTAATCAAGTACATAGCCACAGGCAGTGACAATGCTAAGATAGGGGAAGCCTCTTATTGCGTGGCTCAACTCATAGCCAGGACAGGAAAGCCAAACACCATTGGAGAGGATTTGATATTACTCGCAGCAAAACAGACAGTGAGTGCAATGCCTGGAGATGAGGCTGGCAAACAGATTTGTTTAATTTCTCTCTCAAATAACACAGTTTGACACAGAATTGACAAAATGGCTCAATGTTAAGGAACAACTAACTGAGACGGTGTGGAAAAGTCGCTTCTATTCTTTGCAAATTGATGAGTCAACAGATATCGCAAACCACTCAAACCTTTTGTCAGTTGTTAGTTATGAATACAATGGAGAGGTTCAAGAGGACTTGCTCTTGCAAATTTTGACCACATGCGCAACTGGCGAGGCTATTTTTGATGTGTTGAGCAATTTCAGGAGGGAGCATGATATTGACTGGTCAAAATGTGTGGTGATCAGTACTGATGGGGCTTGTGCAATGACTGGCACATGTTTCCAACATATTACCTATGAGGTGTGTACATATTCTTCTGTTTGCATTATTCAATACAAATATATGGCACCTCAAAGTTGTCACATTTCAATGTAACACCACTATATTTGTCTAGATACCATGAACTATTATACATTTCAAATTATTATCAAGTAATGAAATGTTTGAAAACAGCTATATTGTTTGAGGGGGGAGGGGGATCTGTGAAATTTTAATAGTTGGAAAAGGGATCTGTATGCTCGAAAAGTTTAGGAACCACTGAGCTATATAATCCAAGGTCATTCACATGCACATCTACTATTGTAATACTAGCCAATTAGCCCGTCAAAATATGGGATTTTCAGGTCTTCTTTCCTGTTCTCTCTCTCTCTCTCATCTCTCTCAGCTCTCCTCCTCCTCCTGCCTCTCTCTCCCCTTCGTCTCTCCCCGCTCCCCTTCCCTCCTGCTGTGGCACTTGGCTGAGTGCTGCCTGCTCAGCCGGGCTGCCGCGAGGGTGACGTACACGGCCAGGGGGTGGGGCCGTGTACGTAACTGCCCTCCCTTTTCCTCCCACCCCGGGGGAGCCCAAACAGCCCCTTGAGGGGCGCAGAACTCAGCTGAGTGCCACAGAGGGAGGGGAAGGGGGCAGTGACGTACACGGCCCCTCCCCCTTCTCCTTCATCCGTGGCGGCTTAGCTGAATGTTGCACGCTCAGCCGGGCTGTTGCGGGGGAGGAGGAGCGGGGCGGTGATGTACACAGCCAGGGGGCGGGGCTGTCTACGTCACTGCTCCCCCCTTCCCTCTCCCGCAGTGGCCCGGCTGAGGGGTGCACCACTCAGCGCCATGGCGAGAGGAGGAAGGGGGGGCCGTGAC